TCGTATCTGGTACACTGTATACAATTTATCCCCATAACAACGCAAACGCAGATAGAGAGGAAGAGATGGAGAGAGATCGGAGGGATGGGAGGAGGGAGGGACAAAGGAGGGAGGGGAGATCGGAACAGCAGCACGCAACGCAACATGCAATGCACACACGCACGTCACACACAGAAGGAGGACGGAGTGAAAAGATGCAGAGGAGAAAAAGAGGTAAAGATGAGAAGAATGAGACAGATGAGATAGAGAGAGTGGGAGACGTGGCTCACATTTATTTATATTTATCATATTCATAGTAATACTATATAGTACTAGTCAATTAGTACTGTAGGAGGATCACTAGCGGCATTAGTCACTACGCTTTGACTCATCAGGCGGATTGCTAATGAATCATATTTTCGGCACCGTCGTCTACAAGCTACACAGCATCCCCCGCCCCCATTTTATTTCCCCTGCTGCCAGCTCCCCCCCCTGCCAACCCACCGCGGCCATTGACCTAATATATCACTCATATACAACATGGTGCCTTAATCGCCCGGCGCCGCACAAGACCAAACACTCACCGTCTTTCAATGCAGTTACCACAGCTCCGTGCTTTCCTCCGGCCAGTTGAGCCACTCTTCCACAGATATCGCTTGGAAGATCCCGCGGAAGACCTGGCTGACAAACTCAGCACCCCGCCTGCCACTTTTTGGACACAGTCTGGCCCCGCCCTGAATGCGCTCACATCTCAGAATTCCTCAAATATTCATGCGAAACACTCCTTCGAATGCTACCAGGCAAAGGGCGCATGCCCACCGCTGGCGACCTGAGCGGGCTGATTGCTGCCGCAAGCTTTAACTGTGCAGACCAGGGCTGCGGCAACCCTACGTTGTTGCACATCGCGGGCGAGTCATGGCAATCAGTCGCAGCCGCTCAGCAGTTGGGCCCATGCCGCCCTTTTGCACTGGTAGATTCGACAGAATGGTTTTCGTCATGGATATTTGTGGACTTTCTGTGGATTTGAGCGCATTCGTGGATGGCCGATTGTCAAAAATGCGAGCGGGTGTAGCTTGTTCAGCAGTCTTCCGCGATTCTAACGATAGTTGGAAAGTGGCGTCACCTGCAGGAACACCGGAGTTGTAACTGATTGAAAACGGTGAGTTGTGGTCCGTGCGGCGGCTAGTTAGGCACCATGTTGTATATATATATATAATCAATGGCCGCGTGTGCGCTGTAGCTGCAGATGCCGACTTGTTCTTGCTGCCAGTGGTCACAGGTGTACACAGGACGCGTCTAAATCAATATATACACATTACCAGGACTATGATATTAACAGATTATAAACCTGTCATTATCTGCACACTGCTAACATCTGAATTATGACTGATACACATAACGTATTGTAATTTGTATGTTCCACGTGTTTTTGAAATGGGATGACCGGCGTCTTGTCAGTTTCATTTCAATGTATTATAATTTATTAAGAAATCACCACGTTACAAATACGATTCGAAATGATAAAACTCACCCCCGGTTATCTATCTTTACACTTGAAATTTAACAACGTGACAAGCAGTTCATAACAATGTTATTGTTTGTGTTCGTGTTTCATCACTAGGCCTACTATCTTTTTGATCGCGGATTGCGACACGTTGACTTATTTATCCGGTCGCGTAGTGCATTATGGGATTCAGGTCGAGGGGCACCGCTAGACTGGTACCTGTCTCTGCCAGTATAAGAGAACAGTACTATTGAATTGAATTGAATTGAATTGAATTGAATTGAATTTCATGAGCTGAAAAATAATATTTCGCCGGTTTTCGGCCGAATGGCACTATTAAAGCTAGGTAGCCATGTACTTCAGCTGTGCACCATGAGCGAGATTCATCAACGTTGCGTAAAGTGTATTGCGTACACAGAGTTTCTACGAATTAAGTACGTACGCAAAGCTCGTAGGTGCGATTCATCAACGCAGCGTACGCAAATGTTGATGAATTCCAGTGTAAATCTACTACGCCATCGTAGCTGCTGGTTGTTGAGGGGCGTGCTCAGTGCCGGATTAACCATTAAGCAGACTAAGCACGTACGTGCTTAGGACACCAGGGCCAAAGGGGGCACCACAAAGTTAGGAAAAGTGTGAAAAGAAAAAAACGAATATAAAATTTGTACTTCCCAGGTGTACCACAAGGGGCCCCCAACAATACAATACAATACAAGGGGCCCCTAATGCCACCCAACAAGGTGCTAATTCCCACTTATCAGAAAGTGAAAGGTACTCAAAGACTTGTCAGACACTCATTGATGCTTATCCAGATGACATGAACAACACTTTGTCTACAGAGCTTCAGCAGTTCCATTCATATGTTCTTTATAAGTTTAAAACAACCAAGAAAACATCTTTCACTCACATGGAACTTTACAACACAATTACAGAAGACAAACTAGAGAGTGCCTTTCCAAATGTTGAAATTGCCTTAAGAATATTTCTAACATTAATGGTCACCAACTGCACAACAGAGAGGTCTTTCTCACAACTGAAGCGTATAAAAAAAAAAAATAGATTGACTCGTAGTCAGAATGAAGGTGTACATGCATGTACGCTCAAAATTGCCTCAAATACCATCTACTGCAGTCTACATTAAAAAAAAATTCTGGGGGAGGACCCCCATACCCCCCGCCTGTTTATCACCACCCTTTTTGAAATCCTACATAAATTTTTGTACTGCTGCAACCTGCATTGTATATTTCGTCAGACAGGTCAACAACTAAAATGGACTGGGTCAGTGTGGAAAGGAGGGGGGCACCAAGATTGGTCAGTGCTTAGGGCACCAGTGAGCCTTAATCCGCCCCTGGGCGTGCTTAGCATAAACCAAACACACTGTGCGACACATACC